CCGAGACTGCGGGTAAACGACACAACACTAAAAAGTCTTTAGAGACTTTTTAGTGTTGTGTCGTTTATCCGCAGTCTCGGGGTTTTTTCAACCATGTAAAAAGGCTCATCGGGAAAAGTCGGTATGTTGCGAGACAGGTGTTGTGTATGAGATACCATTGGAGTGTGGATTTAAGTATGTAGGATAGACGTCACGCTACATAAATGATAGATTAAATGAACATAAAAGAAATGTAAAGAACAATGCATAAAACTCGGAGATAGCTAAACATATTCATGAATGTAACAACTGCACGGCGCCCTGGTCGGAGACGGAAATAATACACAAAGAGAGGAACGATGTAAAGAGAGTAGTAAGGGAGACAGTGGGGATAAAGTCTCTTCACTACAGTTCGGGAACAATTCAAAAGGCTTTGTAAAAGAGTAATGTTATATGCCCTCCGGAGTACAGCTCGGCCGGAAATTGCTATATGCACTACGTTTGTCTCGTATAAAATGAATGATCACAACGAGCTTTCCAACCGGTGGCATAGCGTAGGGGATAGCGTGTCCGCTTCGTACGCAAGTGGACGCAAGTTCAAATCGCGGTGATCCTACCTTTTTTTTTTTTTTCTTTTTCTTTTTTTCTTGAACGTTGTTTTGACGAGGCATTTGACGATATTTATATTTCTTTTTTGCGATGAACACAAAAAAAAAACACAGAATGTTATCGGCGAAACTTCGCAGACTTCGCAGATCGGGGACAGCGGGGCTTGGGTTGCCGGCTGGACGCCGCGAAGCGGCGTGTACTGGTTAACTTTTCTAATTAGCAGCCGCATACTGTCGCCGCGAAGCGGCGTGAACGCAGGCGGGGGGCTGGGTTAACGAGCTCCCCAGTGATACACGCGCAGTTCGAAAAAGGGTGGCCCGAGCGGCATGAGCTCTCAGCGTAGTGCATATAGCAATTTCCGTCCAAAGTGCACTACGTAGTGCATATAGCATCGCTCTTTGTAAAAATGTAATCTTTTTTTAATTTTTTTATTTAGGTTGTTGGAAGTGCGACCTGCTCGTGATTTTTTTTTCTTTTTTTTTTTTTTTTGCAGTGTGTGGTTTCTTACGTGTGTTGGCCCAACTACCGTTTCAGTGTGTGCGTGTTTTTTTTTAATGTAAGGACACTTTTTTATGTGGAGAGGGCGAGTTATGATATAGAAGTATGAACTGTCCTGTTGTTCAAGTTTGAAGGTCAATAGATGTTGCCTTATCGCGTCGACATGTAAAGGTTGTCAACGTTCTTGCATTGTTTGGTGAAGACTGTGCCGCTTGAACTGTATACACGTTTGCAAGTCCGGTCTCAGGGCGCTGCCATCATCCTCAGTGGGGTGCGCTCTCAGGCGCGGCCATAATCCAATTACGACGCCTTAGCAAGGCTTCGCAATCGAATTATGACTGGTCCAAGCGCACCCCAGCCAGTTGTGTTTTCTGTTGGTGGAGATGACCTTGAGTTTGAGGCTATATAAGGAAATGGACTAAATAAACCAGTTAGCTGAGTTTGAGACGTCGTCCTGTCAATTTTCTGCCTCTTCTACGTTTTGATGTTTCTTCTCTACCCCAGTCTCAGGTTAATTCCAACATGGTTTACGTAGCTACTTTAGGAGTTTGTGAGGTCACCGTACCAGGTACTTTCATTCAAGATCATTGGTCTGCGCCCGCTGTCCTTGTTCTCCCAGTTTTATCTATGCTACAGTCCTGTAAGGTGACCCCAGTGTGGAGGGTCCAATGTCGTTCGTTTCTGTCAAACGAGAGTGGTGTGAGTGGGAAAGGGCCTTTTCCTTTCTTTCAGTTTGTTCAACCCTAGTATAAAGTGTTCTGTCCGCAATAAAAGTTTAGCAGTGTTTGAGATGTTCTCCTTCTCTTCCTAGGTGTCAACTTTCGTATTTCCTCAGTCTCGGGTTGCATCAGAATGTTCAGTATACACCAGTTCACTTACGCCCTTACGTTCTGTTCAAACTCGCGTTTTAGGTTTTAGGAAAAAGTCGAAACAAAAGAGTTCAGGTTAGAATGAGTTTTTAGCATGAACGATATATATGAAGTGAAACATGCGAATGAGACGCATAAAATGTGAGTCTTCTAGCAGCGCCAATTTGCTGAGGTGCTTTGTGAAATCTTGAAACACAAAATAAACATGTTGCTATCCGCGCCTGTTTGCGAATATGTATTTTTGCTAATAACCTGAGGCAATTAAAGGGTTAGTGCAAAGATGTTAGTATTGAAAGAATTGGCAATTTGTATTTTGTATATTGTTTATCCAAGCACAGGTGACCAAAAACGTGTCACCTTGCCCCGAAAAACTGCTATTCCGGTGCGTGATCGCAAAGAAGAGAACGAAATATTTGCCGATCTGCAACCGCTTGGGGTGGTTAACGGAACTGATGTGTGACGTACTCAGGGAGACACGCGGAAGTGAAATAAAAACCTGTCCCCCTCCGCGGCTACACTCGCCGTCGCCCCCGTAGCGAACCGTCTTTTGTGTCGATCGCTCGCCGCGACCTTCGACGATGCTAATCCTTTAAAAGTCATTAATCGCGGAGGAAGCGGCTGGGGTCTCTGAAGAGAGAACCCAAGGGGAAACCACGTGAGCACCCAGAGTACGTCACCCGAAAGGCAACATCGAGAGATGAGAGCCACTTTGCCCTTCGATGTGTTAAATTTGTTTTACATAAAAACTAGTGCTCGCAAGAAAATGCGGTTTTCTGTTCTTCGTTCCTAGAGTAACACGGATTAATTTCCGCAGTTAATTTGCCAAGGTCTGAAAATCGTTGCACCGCCCCTTTAAAAGAATATCAGCGAATGAACGTTTCCTGATGCTTTCTAAGCATTCTTCGTGCTCTATGCACGGGCAAAAAATTATGATATTTTTGAAGCCCTATTCTATTCATAAATGCTAACTGTGAAAAATGATACTCAGATGGGCGCAGTCAGGAACATTATTTAATTAAATATACGTGTAATGTGGCGTCTGCGAAGCCGCTTTTTTCACAGGAGCTACTGCGACAGCTGAATGGAAGTGTTCGCTTTCGTACAAATAATCGGTTAAGGGGTTATTAGACGATTATTGCATTGATAAAATATTCGGCAAATAATTGAATAGTTTTACACATCTTCCACACTTATATGCGATTGAAGTACCCAAATATAAGAGGAATTGTGTCCGCCACACTAATACTGTGTGTAGCCTATGAGCCTTTCTCATTCAATTAATGTTGAAGCTTCTACCCATTTCACGGGGCCTTAGATCATCTAGATAAGAACAAATCTGTTAAAGAAGGCTGGTAGCAAAGCACAAAAACAAGAACGTTATTATTAGAGCGTTATATGGTTTGCAGACATGTCACAGCTTCCAATTTACATGAGGTAAAATCATCATTGGCTACTTAATACAAATCTAACGTTTCACGATTCTAAAGCTAAAGTAATTATAAAAAAAATATGTTTATCTTTTTTTTTGTTTGTTTTGGCAATCAGACACTTTTGCCAGAATTCTGACGTGTCCAGAACTCTACGTGGCCCATGCTTTTGTCGCTTAACTGAAAGTAAAATGCCAGCGTAGTACAGGTAAAGGTAACAGCTCCATCCAGGAGATGTTCTTTTCCATGCTAGAGAAGAGAGAAATAATGCTTGCCATTTAGGGACAATGGCAGATAGGGAGGCTGATGAAATCCCCGAGTCTATCAAATAAGGATGCTTTGCTGATGACGGATCCGAGAATGCTACGATAAAATCAGATTTATACGTAAAGCTAGTATGTTTATTGTGAAATAAATGTACTATCTTTAATACAAAAGCAGAACAGTTAAGTTTAACTGTAGTAATAGACATTATTAAACGCAATAGGGTCGGATGGTATTATTATGTGAGACATTATTTGTTTGTGGGGTATAGCACGTTGAGTTAGAAAAAGGATAGGCGATAATTTGGGGCAACTTTGTTTTATTCGAAATAACACTTTTGACATCGTTGAATATAGAACGCAATGTAGAATACGCTATGTGGTTATTAAACAGTCGAAGTTAGCGTACCTTATGGTACGTCCTTGTCGTATCGCTTAGATTAGCACTATTAAGCTACAGCCTTATTTTATCTCTCTGCCACTCTTGCCTTTAGAATAGCCAACCGAGGCTGCCCGCCTTGATTATTCTCTCGGGTTTTCTCCTCGTTCACTTGTCTTCATGCCGTAAGCATTGTGTGGAACTTGGATACTATTGGTTGTTTAAGTTGTAATAATAGCCTATCTTAGGTCATACTTCTTGCTGATTTCATCTTGAGTAGAGAGGGCATGGCATCGACAAGATGCAACGCTCATCGTTTCTGCTGTTCCAGCTAGGGGCTGCCCTTTCTTGGCTCTCTGTGCTACGACATCATGCTTGGACCATAGGAACACACCTCTATTTAGGCCCTCTTCTTAACCAACAGAATGGCAGTCCTACAACATGTTCTGGACGGGCGGTTGACTTTGTTCTTTATACAAAAAAGGGAAAAACTAAAAAGGTAATATAAAGTAATGTTATTAGATTTTAAAGTAATTTGTAATTTTAATTACTTACTTTTAATTCGTGGTAATTTGTTATGATCTTAATTACATTTTAGCCTTTCAGGCAAAGTCATTAATATAGTATTTAATTACAAATAAAAGCATTTTGCCCAGCTCAACAAACCACTTTTTCTCTTACAAATAAAAAAGCCGCAAATATAAAATCATATCTAACAGATTTAAGCAACCGTTTTATGGCGAAATAAGCTACCTGATTGTATACCACATTCGTTGTTCAAGAGCACAATGATCTATTGTAGGTGACCGGTTAAGGGTTCAAGGAGAGCTGCTCTCACCTCTTTATAGAGCTTCCTCTGAACTCTTAACATGTCATCGACTATAAGTCGTTATCCTGGTGACGTCAAACTTTGATTCCCTATAAATATGATACGGCGCGCAACAACTTACCAGTGGTACGCTTGAATCACTTAGGCATGGCACGTCAACTTTCGACTGCTTGCTGCGTTATGATTGGGGCCATCATTCTCCTTCCTGAGGCGCACTCAAGGGTCTATCAGACCACCTACGATGCTCAAAGGGTAAGTGCTAACGTTTATTTCCTGATAGCATTGCCGACTTCATTGTGAACCGCCTTATCCGGACTCTAAAACTTACAGAATGTAAACTCACTATTTCACCTACCTGAAGTCGTCGCAGTGAGTCAATATACCGGAATCGATTGATCTTGGAGGTCATTTTTAGCATGAGCAAGCCTGTTTAATATTTGTCTATTTCTTACGAGAGTGTGTGTATGCTGGTATTTAATATTAATAATACAATATTATTAATAATAACATTTATTTGCAAACAATCTTATTCAAGGTGCCGTGCAAGGCTGTGCAGAAATGTGAAAACCCGTGCGCTTGCCAGCCCACCACACAAAATATAGAGTAAAACAGAAACAGAATTATGCAGGCACACACACCATATAAAAAAACAGAAACGTGCGGTGATTCAACAGGGACTAGCAAATGTTACTTGGAACCCAACATTGATGGGACCTCGTGCGGCAAATTGATAATTTGTGCGGAGTATATCAAATGATGGACGAACTTATACAAAACTCGCGATAACCTATAACTCAGGGCAGCCTTGCCGAAAAAAAAGAAACTGGAAGGTAAAGAGCCTATTTTTACTGAAGATTTTCATCGCCTCGGTTTGTGTATTGTTGAGTCACTATAATATTTTATGTTTTCTACATTGTAATTTTTTCACCATCGCTGTAGTGGGCACGAGATTTTTCAGCGGGGTCGCTAAAAAATGGTCGTATTAACCATGTCTCTCCACTAACCCGGACACTTGCTCAGCATGGTAAGAAGCTGATCTCAAGAACGCAAGGCATACTCTTTGAGCCCTGGTGTGCATTTTGGGGGTAATTCGCCTGTTAAACAAATATACAAAATGTTTTTGTGGTGTTCTTTTTTTTTTTTCAGTAGCGAACGCCGTTACAATTTTCATTAAGCAGTTTGGTTTTTATTAGGTTTATATTTTGTCGCCGCAGCTTGTAGAAGAAAAGAACTGCGGGGATTACGTTTTGAGAACGGAACTGCAGAAAAGGCACGGTAGCGGGCACGTGACTTTGAAAGATGAGTTCTGTGCTTGAGTTCTTACAACCAACCTACTCTTTTGAACTAGGCAGACGTGCATGTGCCTTTATCTGCTAGTGGATTCAGATAAGACCAGACCAGCAGCGTAGCCAGGGGGGGGGGGGGGGGCTGTCTTATGCCCCCCTCAAAATTTAGCCGGCCCCTATAATATACAGACGCACTTTAACTCCCCCCAACCCCCCTACGCACACCAAATAATTTTACTCCCATTCCCCAGAAAATATTCCTGGCTACACCACTGGATCAGACTAAGTAAGCGTGGCTGATTCTTAAATGACTAGATATGTGGATGTGCCAAGCTATGTTTATATGCCGTTGCCTAATTTATTGAATAAATAAGCCTACAAATGGTTTGCCTAGAAAAATAATATAGACACAAAATGTCTTTGATCATAAAAAAAAAAAGCGGAAACTCGCATGTACACCCTCATTCGGTGTTCTCATGTTCGGTAGTAAATAACTAGAGCATTAGATACCAGAAAACCATTATTCTTTAGAAACAACATATGGGAAAAAATAAGTAGCTAGGAATAGTATTTGTCATTAATTGTTTTACATGTGGTTTATAAAAAAATAGCTCTCTACATGGAATATTTAATGATTTTGTGGGAAATTTGCAGGCCTATAACTTATACGATTTGTTTTTGTCATAGCGCGCTACTTTGAAGGATTATTTTTCTTACGCACACCTATAAAATAATTTCAAGATGATGTGATTGTATAAAACAGTTACCGTTATATTATCATGCAAACAGACTATTAAAGAGATAAGATAATCCGCCAACCAAAAATTGAAATAGTAGCGACCCTACGTTTCGAAACCGTTCGTTTCTTCTTCAGGGGGATGAATGAAGGACAGCAGCTTCTTCTTCTTCTAGATGTTCAGCGACTTCTTTTTCTTTTTCATTGGTCTTAGTAGGCTGGTCGTGCCGTGCGCAGTCTGTTATAACATCTTGGAGGCCGGTAATATATAAAGTTGGAAGTGCCCCTAAGGACCTATTGATGTTGTTAGAGGTTGTTTGTATGTACCATGACTCTACGAGGTGTCTTCTACGTAGATTTGATGCCGTGTCTAGGATGCTTGCGTTTTCAAAGGCAATGCGGTGGTCGAGGGTCTCGCAATGTTCAGCGAGAGCACTGCGTTCTCTGTCGAAGTTTCGCACGTCGTTTTTATGTTGGCGGAGTCGATCGTGGAAGTTCTTCGATTCGCCGATATAGGAGGCGGGGCATTGGGAGCATGGAACCTTATAAATGACGCCCTGGGCCCTGTCCTTTGGTGGCCTGTCCTTTGGGCGGGGTAGGAAGTGCCCAAGAGTTGACACCGGTTTGTGTGCAACCATAATATGTTCCTTTGCGAATAGTCTGGATAGTAGTTCGCTCGTTCCTTTCACGTAAGGGATGCTGACGCGTGCTAGCGGTTTGGAAGCTGTTCTATTGAACAGCTTCCAAACAACCTCTAACAACATCAAATACAAACAACCTCTAACAACATCAATAGGTCCTTAGGGGCACTTCCAACTTTATACATTACCGGCCTCCAAGATGTTATAACAGACTGCGCACGGCACGACCAGCCTACTAAGACCAATGAAAAAGAAAAAGAAGTTGCTGAACATCTAGAAGAAGAAGAAGCTGCTGTCCTTCATTCATCCCCCTGAAGAAGAAACGAACGGTTTCGAAACGTAGGGTCGCTACTATTTCAATTTTTGGTTGGCGGATTATCTTATCTCTTTATTATTTACCCAACCAGAGAGAATTCTCTCAAACATGTTTACCTTCAAGTCTCTTCACGATGACTTTGGACAAAAGACTACCCAGCTAGCGAAACGGTACGTGAACATCTACCGCAGCATCTCTTCATTCAAGACACACTTGAATTTCACGAAGGCTTGCCGTGATGCTGAAGTTATTCCTCGAAGCTTACGGTTGAAACGGATTGTCCCAACACCAGAGGGTCATAAAGTTTTGACGCAAGCGGAGCATCGTCTGGTAAATGCTCGCATTCACGAATGCAACGCTATCCTTAAACAGAAACAGCTAGATTTGTTTTATGTACGTCAACAGCTTGAACATCGAATTCCGCACATGTTTCCATCAGTACAAGCTTTTGCCGAAAAATGCGCCGCAACCGCAACTCAGAAACACCAAATCACTCAGGAAAAAAATCTGTTGACTCTGAGAAGACAGAAGGAGACGAGGCGGTACAAGAATAACTCCTCTTTTGTCACCAACTTGTCCTCGAGCTCACTCTCCCAACGTGAAATTGATGTCCTCGCCAGGGGTCATAACTACAACCTCACCACCACACGGCCTCCTTTGGCGCATATGGCTGCTGCCATCGAGGACGGCATCATGCACATGGTTCCTAGCGTACGGGAAGGAATCCGTCTAAAGGCAATCAGCGCACTGTCGAAACTCCCACGACGTCAACCATACAACATCTCTAAGGAGGAACACACAGCGCTCCGCAAGCTCAGAGAAGACAGCACCATCGTCATCTTACCAGCGGACAAAGGCAACACGACTGTCGTTCTTGACAGAGTAGCGTACGAAGAAAAGACCCAAAAACTTCTTGATTGCTCCGCCTACAAGAAGCTCAAACGGAATCCGACGCTCGTCATACAGAGAAACTTAAACAGCATGCTGGCAACAATTTTTAAAAACTACCCGGAGTCAAAGAACCTTTACCTTCGAATTATTTGCAGAAATGGATTCGCTCCAGGATTTTACGGACTTCCCAAGATCCATAAGCCCGACGTTCCACTGAGACCCATCGTTGACTTCACAACTTCACCACTTCGAGCTTTGTCAGACTACTTACACAGAGTAATATCCCCTCTCGCCGGGAATACGCCGACTAACGTACGGAATTCCAGCGATTTTGTAGAACGCATATCGCAAATAAGGGTCGACAATGACGAGTGTCTGGTATCATTCGATGTTGTATCCCTTTTTACAAACGTCCCGATTCCTCTGGCTGTCACCGCAACAAGAGAAGCTCTCGAGAAGGATGAAGACTTAGACACAAGAACTTGCCTCAGCATCGATGAGATATGTCGCCTCCTAGAATTCTGCTTGAACAATACTTACTTCTCCTTCAAACAACAATTCTACCAACAAACTAGTGGCACGGCAATGGGCGCATCCATCTCCGTTGCCATGGCCAACCTGACAATGGAAGTAATCGAACAGAAGGCTCTACAATCTTTTGCATCCAGACCCCAGATATTCCTACGGTATATTGACGACTGCTTCTGCATCATACAAGGATCAGAAGTGGACAACTTCCTCGGCCACCTCAACTCTATAGAACCGGCTATACAATTCACCGTGGAACGCGAACACAACAACACTTTGCCCTTTCTCGATGTGCTGGTCCGAAGACAAGGTGATGCCCTAAAATTTACCGTGCACAGGAAACCAACTCACTCTGGACGTTACCTCCGGTTCGATTCCAACCACCCGGTTAGCCACAAGGCGTCTGTCGTCTCCACACTGTTTACGAGAGCTAAGGCTGTGTGCTCTTCTGAAAACGACAAAAGAAAAGAGGAACAAACAATCATCAGCGACCTAAAAAAGAATGGCTATACCGGTAATTTCATTCGCCATGTGGTTCGACGTCAGAACCATAATAGGATAAACCAACCTGCAAGAACAGCTTCCAAACCGCTAGCACGCGTCAGCATCCCTTACGTGAAAGGAACGAGCGAACTACTATCCAGACTATTCGCAAAGGAACATATTATGGTTGCACACAAACCGGTGTCAACTCTTGGGCACTTCCTACCCCGCCCAAAGGACAGGCCACCGAAGGACAGGGCCCAGGGCGTCATTTATAAGGTTCCATGCTCCCAATGCCCCGCCTCCTATATCGGCGAATCGAAGAACTTCCACGATCGACTCCGCCAACATAAAAACGACGTGCGAAACTTCGACAGAGAACGCAGTGCTCTCGCTGAACATTGCGAGACCCTCGACCACCGCATTGCCTTTGAAAACGCAAGCATCCTAGACACGGCATCAAATCTACGTAGAAGACACCTCGTAGAGTCATGGTACATACAAACAACCTCTAACAACATCAATAGGTCCTTAAGGGCACTTCCAACTTTATATATTACCGGCCTCCAAGATGTTATAACAGACTGCGCACGGCACGACCAGCCTACTAAGACCAATGAAAAAGAAAAAGAAGTCGCTGAACATCTAGAAGAAGAAGCTGCTGTCCTTCATTCATCCCCCTGAAGAAGAAACGAACGGTTTCGAAACGTAGGGTCGCTACTATTTCAATTTTTGGTTGGCGGATTATCTTATCTCTTTATTATTTACCCAACCAGAGAGAATTCTCTCAAACATGTTTACCTTCAAACAGATTATTAACACTGCAAAAAATATCTACAATAAAGAAAACCTTGTCTTTTTTTCTGAATTTGGTTATTTTTTTATATGGGCTTTCATGCTTGTAAAAAACATGTTCCAGTATGCCTGATGAAGAAGTTATAGACCTGCAACAGGCCGTTTACAGAGCCGCTTTTTTTAGGCATGGTAACCCTGGAGCGAGGGAAAAAAGAGGTACGGACAGACCCGAAGCTCCGAACGAGGGTTACAATGTCTAGCCTTAACCAGCTCGCCTGTCTACTTGCTTTGACTTTCCTTTTTCAGTCTGCACGGGGTAGTGGCCTGCACGAAACGCCATTTCGAGTTACAGTTTTATCAAGTTAATAGTGGTTTCAACTCAGAATGTGTTCTATGGTTGCCACTTAACCGTTTTCGGTAACGCAGTCGTGAAGTGGAAAACGAAGGACCGATGGAAAGCCGAACGCTGACGCACTGCTTGTTTCCTCACTGATTGAACACGAGCGCTAGCTGAACGTCTTGGTCGAGTTGATGGGAGTTACTCCAGCGTGTCTCCTAACGTGATCCGTTTTACCTTTCCAGGAGCTTGCGATACCAAAACGGTACTACCTGCAATATCGTTCCTACCGAGACGACCATGCGGTACCAGAGGCGGCTAAGTGTGTGTCGCTGCTTGTAGTGAGCAATGTATATGGTCAAAGAAACGCCATTCTTTATTACAAGCAGACTCTTCAGGGTCCACTGTAAGTACTTATTATGCATTACCAGCTGAATGTTTGCGAAATGTTTTCGTCCTTGATTTTGTACAGGCATCTTTAAGTGCAGTCCTTTATTTGGAAAACCGCCCTAAATATTCACTACAGTGATGTCTCGTTTATGGACAAATTTTACTGCCAAAAAGCGTTCATAACTTAAGTTCCTAATAACGAGTCCAAAATGGGTTTATTTACTCAATTCTTCCCCCAAAATGTCGTCCATATAGTGGCGGGTCCCCATTAACGAGTACCGTATCAACGATGCGTCACTGTATTATAGGAGTAAAGTATTCTTAACATAATCTTTAAAAAAAAACTGCATGAACAAGCTCTGAGCCACGGTATATGACCTTTATTCGTTTTATTATCATATTACACAACACTTAAATATATAAATTATAAATCTCATAATTAAGAACAGTTATTTTGATACTATAGTATAATATATATGCTTTTTATAATTTTAACGAGGCTTTATTTATTCTGGAGTGTACTTTTTTTCTTGTGTGTTTCTAGTGCGGACGCTAACGGAAAAGCGGGCCTTCTTTTTTGAACTTCAACTGAATATATGCAGTTGGGATTCAAAGTGAAATTCCAGCTGAGATTCGAAGTGCGAATATGCAGTTGAAATTCAAAGAGCAATTCCCGCGTTTCTCACCCGCGAATGAGTGCCCTTCTTAAATTTAGGTGTCAATGATTTGAAGCAGCGTTAATATACCTGCATCTTTATCACTTTCTGCTCAGATTGTGTCGATTTCACGAAATAGAGACGATCCCTTCTGGGCCCGCTTGCAATGCGAGCTAAATCCGGATTCTAAAAACGTAACGCTACATCTTCGGATGAGCGTTCAGCTTCCTTTATGCGTTCAGAGGTGGACAGGAGAGAAACACAAAGATCTCTAAGTGATCCTTGGGATTATTGAACCTTAAGCAAAATCGAGTTTGTGTTCGGCCCCCATACTGCATTTGGCATTCCGCAAATTCCAGTATCACAGAACTGATGTTAAAGCAGTAAAGTTAACCGCGAATTTTGAAGGTAAAGTTGTATCCCTTGCCTTCAACGGACTGGTTGCGGACGACGTTCCCACTCACGCGGCCTCATGATTGGTAGACCCGGTATTTCCCACCTGGATGATCCCAATTCCTGGCCCTCGCCTTTTAAAAATTAACCAATAGTGCAAACAGTAGTTTATGTCGTTAGACAAGTCCAAATGTAAACTAATCTCCTTCACTAGGAAAACATGTCTTATCATATCAATATCCCATCGTCTCTGACTAGATCGAGACCGCTTCAACATATAAATATCTTGGTGTAAACCTTACATCACACAACTCATGGAATAATCACATTGAAGCCAGTCATGCTGAACCATGAAGAACTCTAGGATTCACCTTCGCTCTGATCTTCCACTCGTCCACACAATGCAGCATGACGTGTTCGTCAAACCTAAATTAGAATATGCAGCTGACAGGGCACGACCTGTCCGTTGGTAGGATACCAACGGACAGGTCGTGCCCTGTCAACATCATCACTCTTCGAACGTAACCAATCGGCAGCCTTTTCAAATCGAGTCCTGTTGAGAAGGATAGTCAGCTGTCCTTTCTCGTCGCCAACTTTTGCAGTCTAATACTGGAACAGGATGACTTGGTCTCTTTTATTGATGCATGTTCCGCTGATGTCATTTCGGGAACTTAGATATGGCTCAGCTTAGACATAGCAAATTCAAAGGTGACATTTTCAGACCTATTTTAAGTCTAACAAAATGACCGGTCTTACTCCAGGGGAGGTGGGGTTATGATCGCCGTAAAAAAGTGGGGTTATGATCGCCGTCATTCCAGTTGATACAGCGCTTGAGATTCTGTGGGTCACAATCGGAATAGGCTTTCAAAGGTGCTTAATCGGAGTGTGTTACAGACCGCCGGACTCTGGGGCAAAGTTTATTGACCACTTAACCGAAATTGAAGACGATTTACAGTTAAAGTTCCCTAACACTCCTATTGTCCTTGCGGGTGATTTTAACTATCCTAGTATAGACTGGACAGCAAATGAAGTTTCTAGCTACTGTACAAACAAGAGCAAATGCCTAAAGATTCTTGAGATGGCGAGTAATTTCCAACTAGAGCAGATTCTCACAACCCCTACCCGTGGAGATGCTATGTTGGATGAAAGTTTTACAGCGCAGCCTGAGCACGCATCGGTTAATGTTTTTGACTTAATTTGTGATCACCGTGTCGTAAATTGTACTTCTCTTTATACGTTGCAAAGCGTGATATTTAAGGAAAACAAATGTTTGATTACAGGAGAGGAGATGAAGAATCTTTTATGTTAATCTATGTTTTCCAGCTCTTTCTTGGGTAGGCTTGATGAGCGTCCCGTAGATGAAAACTGGATCTTGTTTCGCAACAAACTGATAGAGTCTCAGGCTGCCTGCATTCCTGTTTTAAACACTATACCTTGTCTACGTTCCCTTGGTTTACATCTGAAATTAAACAAAGTATCCGAAGAAAAAAAAAGCGTTTATATAAGCGAGCGAAGGGCTTTGACTTGGACGACGATTGGATCTCCTATCATGCGTATGCCATATGTTGCAAGAAATTGATAAAACAGGCCAAGCAGGGCTTCTTTGACGTTTCAGACCCGAAAACATTGTGGAGGGTTGTAAACCCACACCCTGCAAGTGTGCTTCCGTGCTTGGGTTCTGGTGACACCTTACTTGGTGAATCTCAGTTGGCCGACCAGTGCAATGAGTTTTCAGCAGCGTTTTCAATGATGAGGATGTTCTTTTAGATTCGACTATATCAGAAATGTCAGTTGAAATCAATATGTAAGATATTGTAATTTCTACCTGTCGGGTTATATGTGCCACTGATCGATTGCCCACTAACTCTAGGCCTGGCTCTGATGAAATATTCACAAAGCTATTAGAGCTAGTCAAATCAATTTCTGGCCCTCTTCTGGGAAGATTGTTGCAACAATCCCTCTCCATGGGTGAATTACCGGACGATTATAAATATGCCCATGTTGTTCCTATGTTTAAGACGGGGGATAAAAATTCATTTGACAACTACAGACCCATCTCACTCACCTGTGTTTCATGTAAACTTCTAGAACACATTATACACCAACTCATGCTTACAAACAAACCGGAGCGCCCCTAGCGGACGCCACCGGCGCTGCGCATGCGCGGTGGACGGTGGGCATGAAGCTCGCCGTCGCCCATAAACAAACCATTGAATTGCGTTGTTGTCGACGTCGGTGTGAGTCACCGTGCTCTTTTTCGCGTTGGAATTGTTGATTTTATGTCCTCCTAACAATGTCTGACTACTTGAGCGGCTTCAGCAAAATTAACGAGGCTCGTTACACCGCAAAAATTCGCGTGAATAACGGGACGTGCGGCGATTAATTTCACGTGGACGCCGCAGAATAGGCGCTAAAGCCTGACCCCCACGATGAGATTCATTTCGATATTTTCAGTCGCGACGTCGCTCGGGCTGCAAACGCGTGAACCGTAGCTGAGATGGTGGACGTCGATACTGAAAACCGCAAGTAGAATGGGGCATTACTAGTCGGTAACGGCCACTGGTAACAATGATCAACATCTTCTTGTATCTACTGTTTACACTTAGCCTACTTACCCCAACCAACCTTCCAAAGTGTTTTGAGACCTGCACTTAGTTCTTACCTCAATTACCGGGTCAACGTTTGGTTTACGGGCCGCTGTCGTTTGAACGAGCTGACGACAAAAAGCAGACTATTTGAAAGAGCAGACGACAGTTGGAACGGATACGGAGTGGAGTGCGGGCAAGAAGCACCGCGTCCCGCGTCAACAAACCATTGGAATCTCACGTTGTCGGCCTCTGTGTGAGTCTGCATACCCTTTTTCGCGTTGGAATTGTCGATTCTACGTCCTCATAGCAATGTCTTACCACTTTAATCACCTGAGCGAAATTATCAAGGTTCGTTACGCCGCTAAACTTTGCGTAAATAATTTGACGTTCGGCAATTCATTCGCATGAACGCCGCAGATTGGACGTTAAAACCATGAAGATATTCTTCTAGCTATTTTCGGTCGCAACGTACGTCGGTTGTGCTACAAAAGTGTAGAAGGTATCAGCGATGATCGACGTCGATACTGTAAACCGGAAGCGAGAACAGACCAAGCGTAACAAATCTGTGATGGCCACTGGTACCAATGATCAACATCTTGTATCTACTGTTTGCACCGAGCCAACTTAAGTCTTTTGAGAACTGCATTTACTTCTTATTGCAATCACCGGGTCAAAGTTTGGTCTATGGGCCGCTTTTGTTTGAACGAGCAGACGACAAAAAGCAGACAAGTTCGAAAGAGCAGACGGCAGTTCGAACGATCAGGCGGCAGTGTGAATTTGAAGACGCACTGAACCCGCGGGTGGTCCGGACAACTTGGCGGTTTTCTCTCGTTCATGTTAGAACACAACAACTACATCTCGCTATCACAAAGTGAAAAGACGGTGAGTAAATGAATTAAAAACGATTTGACAAACGGACGCTAATCAGTTATGACTGGCAAACGCCACTCCTCCCCACTTTTCGTGACGTCAGGTGTGCCTCAGAAGTATGTACTGGGTCCTGTGCTTTTTCTTATTTACATCAATGATCGTCACGCTTGCATAAATTCTTGCGCTCGTTTATTCGCGGATGATTGCGCCATCTACCGTCCCGTTATGGACCCTCACGATAGTACAATTGTACAAGATGACTAAGGCACAGTTTGAAACTGGTGTGACACGTGGCTGATGAAAATAAATAAACACAAAACAAAAGCTATGACCTTCCCCTTGAAACGACATCTCACCCCTCACACGTACGTCATTAGTAGTGACGCCGTTGAAAATGTCTCATCTTTTAAATATCTGGGCGTTCATCTCTCGTCCGACGTAACGTGGAACCTTCACATTGAACACATTGCTAACAAGGCGTCGCAAACGCTTGGCTTTCTCAAACGAAC